TATTGTATTGGATATTGTGGTCCAATGTCTTCGCATTTTGAAACCATTTGAAGGTTTGCCTAAAACTGTTTATTTTTACTTATTTTATTGAAATGTTTTTATTTTTAGACCATTTGCTTCCAATGGCTCACAAGTTGTGGTCACCTCTTGTCGAGAGATTTACAGATAAGGACGTGATTGTGACGAAGCGCTCGTTTGCTTGCCTACAAGTGATGTCTGAAATCTGTGGTGATTTCATACGCGTCCGAACTCTCAAAGAAGTGATTCCCAAGATTTTAGCCTTTTTGAGATCACAGGCGCTGATCAGCTTCAAGAAAGACAAGGCCTCTGCCTATAGGTTTACGATCGCCTATCAGTTCCAGATTGATATACTTTGTGGCATCGGTTCCATTGCCGTGAATCTCGGTTTGCGCGACAAAGACTTGTGGCCATTGGAAGCAAATGGTCTAAAAATAAAAACATTTCAATAAAATAAGTAAAAATAAACAGTTTTAGGCAAACCTTCAAATGGTTTCAAAATGCGAAGACATTGGACCACAATATCCAATACAATAAGTCTGACTTTGGGGTCAATGTTGGAGATTATATGAACACAACGATCGCATATTTTTTCAATTAATGGTACATAAAATGGCACTTTTTTCTTCTCATTCTCAGTCGTGTCCTCCTTATCATCACATTCTTCTTCAGTATCACTAATCGTATCTTCGTTTTGATTCTCAAAATCTTGAGAAATAGTCTTATTTTGAACAAACTCTTCGAAAAGTTTGATAAAACAAACTCGTGAACAAAGCCTTCTTCAGGCAACTAACGTACGTTAGTGAACGAACGGCAGCCTGAGTTGTAAACCATGTTTTATTATTAAATTGCATTTTTGTTTGCTTATGTCCTGAACGTACTCTCCTAACGATTGACTTCTGTGGTAACTGTCGATGACAACAATGATCTCGTCGATGATATCAGCGAAGAGGTATAGCATGTCTTGAGTGGAAAACTTGAGCATTACTTTGATTACGAGGGGAACACTTTGGTTATCAATGAAGTGCTTTAAGTGAATACAAATGAAATTAACCAAATAATCGACATTTTCGACAATCAGTTTCGATATGGAGTTATAGCCGAAATACTGTGACACTAATGTCAGCGCTCTGTGGGACGTCTGGTATACACACAGATTGGAAGCGCCGACACTCTCGAGGAGCGGGAAAATACATTTCAACAGATAATTATGAGCCGATTCTGAATCATACAAATGCAGGAAAGCTGTCAGTCCTTCGATGAGCAGACATTGTCTGAGAATATCTTTATTCATATTCTCGACAGTTTTGTCCGCAAGAGTTGCCGTAATGTTTGTTAAGTATAGATCCAACACCTCTTCGGTGTCCTTATAGTTGGCACCGATAGTCGAGAGGATCTGATTCGTGACGAACACAACACTGGCGTTCATCTGCGACTGTCTCAACACATCCATCAAATAGTCGACCAACACTTGCGACTCAACTCTCTGTGCAATCAATTGACAGCATTTACTCAAAGCGGTCTCCGATTTCTCGTCGCTTAGGTATGAAAAGTCTTTTCTAATCCACTTCTGAAGCAATTGTTCATCACTTAAATGAATGGCTTTGTCCGCATGTGTGACGAGTTCCAGAAGTCTGATCCCATTGTAATCGAATTGACAGATATCTATGAAACACTCGAAGAGTTTGTGTTTGTGTTGCGGAGAGTATAGCATATAATTGATGCCATTTGTGTCCAAACACTTGATATAACCGTATAATAAATAAATTGATGTTATTTTCTCTCTTTCACTGCAAGTCCTGATAATTCTCGGTAAACGAGTTATATATGAATAGATCTGATCCTCGATTATGTCGAGATAGGACTTCGAGGAATCGGTGCTGTTGTTGCTGTAAGTGGTGGACAGTTGGCTTACAAAGGCGTCCGATTGGAGGCTTATTTCTTGGAAATCGTCGCTCAAATAAGTCAACGGAACTCTTATAAGCGATGGCAGACACCTGTTCATGAAGAGTGGGCAACAGTTGGTCAGTATATGAGTGACAAACACTTGCAGCGATTGTCTGACATTCGAGTTCTGGTGCGATATTAAACTCGAAATGATTTTCTCGAAAACAATATTCAATTTATCGCAAGTGTTTTCCAACCACTTCTTGTCGCGGATCACATGAAATCCATTTCGTTCGTACTCTTCGGGAATGTCTTTAACCTGTTTTGAATCAATCCGTTTCGACTCAATGTCCGCATCACATGAAATGCTTTTCAACACAAAGACAATAGTATTGGACAACAGAGTCAGCGAAGAACTTATTACTCTGCGGTTCAGCTTATCATCGCTTGACATGACTTGCGATATATTAATGGATATTCCGGGCAAGAAGTATGCGATCAGGTCTTGAGGGCACGACTTGAGTGTGTCCTGAGTTAGACTCAGTTCACACTTACCTATCAGACAGTCAATGGTTTCGATGGCCTCGGCTTTTATTAAACTATACTTCTGTTTGTTAGCAGTACTCAGGAGTATATGAATTGAATGACCGAATTGGGCGCTGAATGACGGACTCACCACTTGTCCTAATATGCAGTCATCACAGTTCTGGATCAATGTCTTCGCGCACTTAACCACACTTAAGATCAGATCTTCGCTCGCTTTGAAAGGCAACTCTTGGTCTGCAAAGCAATCAATCATTTAGTGATATATTGAAGATAATTAGTGAGCACTGCTTACCAATAGTGTATGAATTATCGTCAATCAAGTGCAACAAATTGGACAAAACGTCGGCAAAGATGTCAAACCTATTGATCTGCGACTTCTGGAGTATCAATGAAAGACATTCAACACTCGACTCAATGGTCTTCACGCAACTGAAAACAAACAGACAATCAATGGATTGATGAGTGAAATGGGAGACAATTTCATGAATATATGGATCAATACTTGTTTTGCTTCTTCGGCAGATTGGAGATAATGAGTCTTAAGGGGAATATCGAGTACTGGTATAACGAGTTGATGAAGTGTTTGTCACATTTGGTCACAAATTGTCTCAAACTCTCGATGGACTCGTCGTTTGGTTGGTTCACGCAATTCACTGTCCTTTGCTTCAGCTCTTCAAACAGCTCTTTGCTGATTGTCGACGTCAATCGGTAGTCAACAGTAGATTAACTAGGGTATAATGTACTGTCGTTACAATCTGTGATAGGTATGTTACTCACGTGTATAATAAGTTTTAGTGTTAAGTTAACAACAAAAGTTTTGTTTAAGTAAAGTATTTGTGCCGTTCGTAGACAACGTGTCGGCGCACTCACAAACTCCACACCCTTTGCCCCCTCACACGCACAGTGAGGTCACACTGATTGCAATGCAGTATAAATATTTGTTTTCGCTTTGCTTACAACCCCTCCCCTTCCAACGGCCTAACGTAATGTGTGAGTGAACAGCAGTACAACCCCTACTAAAGCTTGAATTTCACTGAAATGTTTGCCTCATTTCCATTGAAATTCAATACATTTCGTGAAACAACAAGTTTTTGTTATTTATTTATAAAGACTTTATTATACAGTTTCTAAACAACATAATTCAAAAAATACTTTTTAATCACATTTTGTTGCTATAGTTTAGATTGAAAACTTTTTAGAAATCCAATAAAATAATATAATTTATATTATTTAAAATACACGGTTTGATGACAAAAATAAAACTTATTATAAAGCGTTTGAATAACAATTTTTTAGTGACTCTTTACTCATATTTCATGATTTGTTTTAAAAAAAATAAATTAAAGTGCATTTGAATATTGAACGGCAGTATTGCTACCATTAATAGCTTTAATATACTTGAGTTGAATCACAATTAGTATTAGTGTTATGAGCGAGAAATCAGATGATAAGCCAATCGGACTCCTCTTTCACTGAATGTCTGTCCAACTGATTGATTGTATGCCAAACCAAACCCGTGGCAGTCATTATCCAAATGTCATTATTTTCAGTCACTTTATGTTGAATAAAGATTGCGATTAAAATGAAACAAATAAAACAATATTCACATCAATACCTGAAACAGAAGTAACGGAATCTTCGGGAGGAATGTCTGGTACGACCACTGGCTGCCACTCATTACTGCTATCACTTTGTCTTATTTTGGCACTTCGTCTAAACAATTGGTTGCCTTCGACCGCAATAATCACTGTGTGGTCATAGAGTGCGATATCTGTGGCGAGAATGCCGTCCATGAGAAGCCATTCATCGCCGCGAAAGTCTTGCTTCTGATCCACGGATTTGTTGAAAGTTCTGACGAAAATCTTGCCGCTCCTGTCGATACCCCAGACCACTGTCCAGTCGGTGACCGAAACGCAAACTTTTCTCATTTCGATTGAATGCGAGTTATAGTCGTTAATGAGAGACCACTTGTGCGGCCGCATAGTGTGAGTCCACGTCTCGCCGTTTGTGTCACAACACCACAGAATCGACTCTTTCGTGTGGACACTAACCGACGTAATCCTGGATTTGCTTTTGTTGTTCTTAATGAGCATCCATTTGGTTCCCACGGGTTTCGTGGCGTCCATTCCCTCGCGTCTGAAGATAACACCCGAGTCGGTCAATACGATCAGTTCATTGGTGGCGCACGCGATGTCCAGCGCCTGTACTTTATTAAGTTTTAGCGCTTCCAGTGTAGGATAATATATCAGTGATTTGTGGGCTTTCGGTACGAACCAAATGAGACCCATTTCTCGATCTGACAATATTGGCCAGCGTGTTTGGCTACTCTTGAGATACAAAAACTGGCTTAAATGTAGGCAATTCGTATACTAACCAAGGGTAAACACGAGTTAACCGGCGTTTTATTAGAGTAAAAGAAGTTAGTTTACACTCAACTCCTCAACACTTTGTTGTGAATTTGAACGCAAATCCTTATCTGAGCTGTCATTTTGTGAAACTTCTGCGCGATTATCATCTGTTGCCACAGAAATGTCTGTCGACTCAGAGATGTCATTGTCTTCTACTGCTTGAGTGTCCGTCCAAATGGTTTCCAACTGAGGATTTGCTTCTTTATAGGCACTTAAAATCATTTCCAATTTATTTTCTTCACTCATTTGTTCCTTATTTTCTGATTCATCACTAGATTTGTCGGAAACTTCAATATTTGTCTGCAAATCGCTTGCAGACGACAGAGAGGTCTCTATTATCTTATTTGCATTTTCCTCCAAACCATTCATCGCATCTTTGTCTTTGTCTGAAGTACTGGTCAGAAGGGAATCACTGCTATTGTGGTGCGCCTTTCGCTTTGGTTTTCTGGTGATCACGAGTGGAGACGCAAAGTCTGGCATTTCTTTTGTGGCTGATAACCACAGGAGTTTCAGACCTATTAGAGGGCTTTGCTTCTGTAAAAACAGACTTAACCCGTGTTGCAATCCCAGATACCAACACTACTATCTGCAGCTGTTAACTAACATAAAAAGCCAATTTTTCATCTGAATTTTGGTAAAATCAAAGACTTTCCGCAACTCTTCGTCTATGAACGACAGAGGGTTACCATTATTTACGGGGGCTTTGATCAGATTAATCAGCGATTCCGTGGAGCTCTTGCGACTATTGTCATCGCTATTCTTGCCCTCGGATTCGGAGCTAATCTCGTAATCACTGGTGCCGTCGAAGTGATCGTCTGATTGTCTCACGATTTGATTGTTTCGGATTCGTATGATTTGCTTGGATTCGAGTAACAGAAACGCTTCGTTGGTGTCGTTGGCGGCGATCTTCACGTCCACTAATTTATCGATCTTTTCTTTGACACAAAACTGTCCGTCAGTTCTGATGATCACTAGATTGGAGTCGTTGACGGACAGGACGTACTGGTCGTCGGTTTTGTAGAAGTCATGAGGCTCAAACATTACGCAAACAGGCCACTAACCGAAGACACGGTTGAGACCATACCCAACGCCTGTGAGCCTCCTGCCGTACATTAACTAAAAGTACCAAAGCGACTGTACGCCGCTGACTTGGGCTTTGATGAGGTGTAGGGAAGGTCTGGAGCCGTATATGGTGTCCGTCTTCTGGGAATAAACGGCTCCAAAGCGGCCGAAAGTCTTCCTCTGGTTTTTGCCAATTTGTTTGACAATACATTTGTGGAGATCATTGAAATCAATCTCTAAGACCGCGGATCGTAATGACGTCGATATGAGGAGCGTATGGCTGTCGATGAACTCGATCTGAACGATAGGGAAACCCGTGTCCATGAAGATAATACTCTGTTCAGCCCTCACGAGGTCGTGGTAGCGGAGGCATCCGTCGGAGTCGCCGCTGATTAGCAGCAGTTTCTGGTCGCCGATAGCCAGGTATGTCTGGAGGCATGTGATGGTGGCTCTCGTGGGACACTTCCAGCCGTACAGAAACTTTTGGTTTAGCGGAGGCATCCGTCGGAGTCGCCGCTGATTAGCAGCAGTTTCTGGTCGCCGATAGCCAGGTATGTCTGGAGGCATGTGATGGTGGCTCTCGTGGGACACTTCCAGCCGTACAGAAACTTTTGGTTCAATCGGTTCAACACGTAGACCGACGATTGGGTGGCGAATGAGATCAAGTGATCGGTGATGAGTTGGATGGCGTGGATGGCACTCGAGGTGAACCGATATCTGAGTAGTTGGTTGGCGTCCACGACGTGTCTCCGGAAGCAGTAAATGAGTCCCGAGTTTGTGGCGAACGCGAAGAAGTGTCGGTTGACGTCGAAGCACGTGATGCGCGGTGTCGTGCCATTGGTGGTGGACTCAGGAGGTTGTGGTGCGAGTGATTTGTCGAGAAAATCAAACGCTTGCCAATCAAACGGATATTCAGTGCTATTGAGTGTCAATTCATTGCTTATGAATGCCATCAATGGGTCACTAATGCTGTCATCGATTGTGGCATTTGTGTTGTGTTTACCAAACAGTCAGTCAATGCATGCAATGCTATGCTATGGCAGGCGTTCCCTTTAACCACAGTATTCACAGTGCATTGCAGTATCATATCTGTAGTGAACAGCACCTGTACTTTGATTTCACATTCTGTGCTATTGTTTGAACACAACTATTAATAACGATTCAATATTACGAGTAAAATAAATACATTTGAATACAAATGTATTGTTTTTCAACGAAATAAGTTTTATGTATAAACAACTAAACAACAAATAATAGTTCATAACAACTATCGCAAGCTTACAGTAAATACCTTGATGTTTCAGTACATAAATGTATGTGAATATAATAAAACTTATGATTATTGTATTGCATTGCTATTTAGTATAAAATAAAAACTTCATATAATAAATTATTAGTTTATATGAATTATTATTAATAAATAATTAATAATTCATTTAATTAAAAAATAGCTAATTTCTGTAGACTAACAAGAAATGTAGACTAACTTGAAAGTTTTGATCCTGGTCATTTTCTATAAGAATTTGGTAACTTATTTGTCTGTAACTATGAAACACTAATTGTATACAGCAGAATTTAGTATTCATTGAATTATACTATTGAAAATTATACTATACAAAATTGAATACAAATTGTAAATTGTAGAATAAGTGATAAAATGAATTAATATTCATTGAATTATATAAGTTATAATTTATTATACAAATAAACCCCTATACTGTCTAAATGTTGAAAACTTGTTAGCATTACAATAGATAGGGTATAATATAAAGTGACTGTTTGTCAAATATTTTCAATTTCGATGTCACCGCAAATGAGTGAAAGTGAAACAATATAGCATTAAATGGATCAATAGTGAAAATCAAGTTTGAATTTAAGTTATTGGTCCGGATGTTAGGAGTATAATAGTGTGTCTAAACCTAATTATATATTAACACAATTGTCTAAAAATTTCATAATAGCCAACCAGTGAAAGTGAGGCAAAAGTTTGAATAACATTGTATATAAGTTCAATCGTAACATCAATTTCAAAAACAATTCATTTCAGTAATACAACAATTATTATTACAGATTACATAATGAGTGCTAGAGTTATAAATAAGTTTTTAACTGTTATTTTGTTAATTTACTCATTAATTGTTAATTTGATGGCAATTAATATGAATAAAGAGAGTTGCGGTCAATACAGACCCCGACGAAGTGGTCGAGTGATCGGTGGTGACGACGCGTCCATCGAGGAGTTCCCGTGGCAGGTGTCCCTCCAGAAGTTCTCTATCAACGGTATTGTTCCCATTCCTCACTTCAAGCACTTATGCGGCGCATCCATCATAAACCACGACTGGCTCCTCACAGCCGCTCATTGTGTGGACGGGTATCTCGATATAGATTTCGTTTATTTTAGAAATTCTTAATATATTTTATAGTATTTTATAACTTTTTTTATAAACTTATCAAAAATTATTTACTAATTAGTATCGCAAACCAAATACTTCCGATGAACTTACGAGCTGTGATTGGGACTGATCTGTGGAGGAATGCCTTAATCCAGCCATCCATACAAATACTGTCCATCTCTAAGATTATAGTCCACGAGAACTGGGATGAGAGCGCCGGCAAGAATGACATCGCATTGATTCGGACGAGTCGTCCCATAATATTCAACGAGAAGGTCAACAGTATTTGTATTCCCGATACTGAGCTCAACATAACTAACAACGTTGTGGTCACCGGTTGGGGCATGACTTCCGACCGATCATTATTGGGTGGAGTACTGCCCAATAGGCTCAAGAAACTGCACATTCCTGTCGTTGAGATGGAAAAGTGTCGCAAAATTTATAACTTTCAAACCTATGAGATAACTGACCGAATGATATGCGCAGGGTCTTTTAGGAATGGCCACTGTATTGTGAGTATAATTTTTAAAATTTGACTAATTTATCAATTATAATTATTAATCATATTGCATGTAAGGGCGCATATATGGGCGATTCCGGTGGACCCCTAATCACTTACATTGACGGTCGCGCCTATCAAATAGGTTTGGTTTCATTTTCACTCCCCTGTCGCACCTATAGTGCACCTGACGTTTATACAAAAGTTAATAAATACTACAAATGGATTGAGAAAACTGTTGGCTAACACACTAGTTGTCTGTTTTAATTGTTCACATATTTATTGGATTCATAATTGCATAAATAAACTGAATTTGTTTGAATCTCAAGCATTGATTTATAAGTTAATCAGATTTAAGTAGTCCTTCAGTATAGGATTGATCTCTAAATCCATAATACTTTTCGGTAAACTATTTTGCGACCGAAACTGCTTTCGGATACAAAATCTGGTCATTTGTTTGAGACTCGGAATCTGAGGGATGCTGTCAACCAGTGATTCATTTCTCGAGTATTGAAACTTAATTTTCAGAGTTTTGATGATTTCATTGCCTACTACTGAAAGCTCTTTATACGATTTGCTTGCATAGGAGATATCGTTTGTCACGAACTTAATCCACAATAACTTTTTGATGAGTTGTTCAGAGGATGCGGTTGTCATTGAGTGACAAACCCGATGAGTAAAGTGCGGGATCTGGTAGTCAATGGTCGGTATATTAGCGCCGAATTGCAGTAATATTTGCAAAATGTGTGGACTTTCGGGCAAAAGCGTGCAGTCAATGACCGGGAGGTGAAGATTGCGCCACAAATCGCTTTTGGACTCAATTGAGTCAAATCGTGGGAAATCAATGAAACGGATTCTGACTGAAAGGTTGTTTGGATCCACAAAATCCATGTCTAGTTTGTGCGCTATTTTAATGATGTATTTCAAGGCATATAAACCGTCGTTGTTTCGGATATTGTCTAACTTGATGTCTAAACACTTCTCCATTGATTTCCATTGTTTGGTCTCAAACTGATAGACGGACCAAATGTCCCAAATTCCCGACTGTTTCTCGACAAAGAATCGGATAAAACTTTCTAAGAGTCGATAGTTTTTGAAGTCAATGTCGGCACAGAAGGCAAGAATTGCTGACATAAAGTATTTGCAAATAAATTGTGACTCAGATTCGTATACTATTGACGAGTAATTAGCCATAAATTGTTTGATTAACTCTTCGCATGCTTTGTGTTTGTCTTCGTATTGTGCGATGCCTTCAATATATCTCCTAATTATGTCCATTAAGATCTGTCTAATCTTCAAACGGTTTATATGCTTATCATAATGATTTTTAAATGCCTTTTATGTGTTTTTATTATTAATTGTTGTCCCGGTATTTATCATGTTTAGTATTTTATAGAAAATGAAATTAATTAGTCAAACAAAGATCTACAGATCTATGATATATGGATTCTATGATCTAATAAAACAAAAATGAGATTAAATTACTTCTTTATTTAAAACTCTTTGATTTCTAAACTTTTCTAATTGAACTGAATGTCACTTAAGGAGGGGGTGGTGGAGGTGGTGCCTGTGGTCTCCTCGGGGGTGCTGGGGATGAAGGAGGTGATGGTGGTGGTTGTGGTCTCCTTGGGAGGGGTGGGGTTGCAGGCGTCCAAACTTTTGATGCATTTGTCGGTATTGTTTTCATTTTGATATTCCGTTGAGCGGGTGGTGTCTGTCCGCGACCTACGGAGCCAGGAGTGGCCACAAACGGATTGGGTTGGGTCTGAAGATCAGCTGACTGGCCAAGAAGTGACTGCAATTCCCGGTCGAGTTCCTGCGCCTCTCGAGCCCTCTCCTCCTGAGACGACGAATCCTTTTTGTTTTGAAGTCTCCGATCATATCTGGTGTCGTGAGAGTAGTTCTGATCCAGAGTTTCGTTCGCCGCATGAGTATGCAGTTTGTGGGCCGCGAAGTCTCCAACCCTCCCGACCGGCCCGTGACTGTGACCCCGGCCTGGATCTGGTGGCTCGTAACTTACGTACGACCGGAAAGGGGTTTGACCGGTTGCGAGACTTCGATCCCACTGATTGTACCGTTCATTGATGTCTTGTATGGCAGGGTGTGGTTCAGGAGGCAATTGATCTAAAGTGTAGCTCTGTTTCACTCTAGAGAACGATTTCCTCAACTTCCGGTTGCGAGACTTCGATCCCACTGATTGTACCGTTCATTGATGTCTTGTATGGCAGGGTGTGGTTCAGGAGGCAATTGATCTAAAGTGTAGCTCTGTTTCACTCTAGAGAACGATTTCCTCAACTTCCCGAACCTCTGGCCCTCTCTATAGGGCAGACCCGGCTCGTAGTTATCAGTCTCGTAGGGCAACCACTTCTTGCGAGTGTCCACGTCGTCGGTGTCCTCTTCATAGTGCGGGTACCGCGAGAGCCGTTTCCTCGCCCGAGAGGTCATGTGACTGACGGGTCTCATGGCATTCCGGAACCGTTCCCCAAATCCGGGTCGAGTGGCCGCTCTCTGCTCTTCCTCGCTCACGGCTTCCACGGAGAGCCGATCCAATTCATTGGGTTCTGCGGTGTATAAGTGCGGCGGAGGTTTGGCGGGTTCTTCCGGTTCATCGGGAGGTGTTCCTGTCGGCCACTGTATAGATTCGCGACGGGTATACCTGGGATCAGAACTCCAGTTCCCAATTCCCAGGTTCTCTGTCAACACCACATGCCTATCGCCCGTACCACTGAGCACTTGGACAGGAATTTCTAGACGCTCTCCCCCTGGCCTCGTCTCACCCGTACCTCTACCTCTACCCCTACCGGGTGTACTGGTTTGGCTCAGGTTTGATGATGAACTCCTTGGGCTCGGTTTAGGGTGTGGAGGCTTTCGGTTAGGATTTGGTGGACCATTTTGGTTGGGATTTGGTGGTGGAGTCTTTCCGCTCATGATTTAGTCTTTGGTTTGTTTCTGTTGTCTTAGTTTTAGTTTTAGTTGTTTTATTCAAAAGAATTGTTTAATTTTTATATCTATAAAATACATTTTAAAATATTTAATTACTTAAATATTTTTAAAATATTATTTTATTCAATTGCAAACTATTTTTGATATGAGTATTTAAATGTTTGTATTCATCTATGCAAATAATATAGACCGGGTTTATTTTGTATTTTATTTATTATAATAAAGCTATGGAAACCAATTCATACAATTACTCTAACTTTAACTTAGGAATTAAAAACATTTTAAATGCATTTATAAGCACTCTATTTATGAAAATTTGGATTAATATGAAAATAAAATTGTGAATCAATTGGGTTCAGGAGTATTGTCTTTCTTATTGAATACGATATACTTTTCTTTTGGCAAAACTATCATAAAAGTCATCAAAAGGATTGCGACGACAACTGCGGCACAAATAATAGCCAGATATTGAGTGCCACTCGTCGAAGTGGTCTTACTCTGTCGCGGGTCAGTAGTATTGCCCTCTGAGGCCATGGCTGCCTGTGGGCCAGATTTGGCGGGCTTTGAGTCGCCGAAACAAATGAAGGCATTCCTCAGCGGTTCAATCGGTTCCAGTTGTCCGATGAGCTTACCATTGATGCGACTCATCGTCAAGACATTGATCTTTCTGTAATTATTACCACTGAAGAGATATAACGTTGAGTTCAGCTCTTGAGTCGATGGGGAGGTGTTGGTTGAGTTGGTGTCGACGGCGGGGGTCTCGCCCTCAACGGTAAGCATTTGCGACGAATCGATCACTTGATTGTCAAACAGTTGGCTCGAGTCCACCGATGGGTAGTTCCTGATGTTGATGCCCTCCCTGGCCTCGCATACGGACATCCACTCAACCACTTTATACGTCTTCTCCCGGAACACTACCATCTTATTAGGGGTCCAATCGGTGATGGCATCGATCTTCATGTTCTCATGAATTGGTGACAATATTGTGCTCAAGAGTTTGTGATCGTTGAGCGACAAACTCTCGGACCACTGCCTACTCTTTGAGGAATATGTCCTGAATTTGTTGGAATCGATGGCAATCAGATCCAGTGAGCCGTCCGGACATTGAAGTGTGTCCAGGAAGAAGGCTGCGTCCACTTTACTCATACCATCCGGCATTACCTTCGGCTCATTGTCTCTGAGGAACTCCTGAAACCAAAAGGTATTCTTGTTTGACATAAATGAATAAACAGATATTGTGTGTCCAGGAAGAAGGCTGCGTCCACTTTACTCATACCCTCCGGCAATACCTTCGGCTCATTGTCTCTGAGGAACTCCTGAAACCAAAAGGTATTCTTGTGTGACATAAATGAATAAACAGATATTTGGGACTCGTTTTGATGGCTGTAATGATTGCTGTAATTAACGCTTTCATTCACAGACTTCTTAGGCCTCTGAACTACTCCTGAAACCAAAAGGTATTCTTGTTTGACATAAATGAATAAACAGATATTTGGGACTCGTTTTGATGGCTGTAATGATTGCTGTAATTAACGCTTTCATTCACAGACTTCTTAGGCCTCTGAACCCCCAGTGCTGTCGAGTCGAGTACGAAGTCCTTATCGCACGGACTGATGGCATACAACATATGAATACATATTTGGCTTACGATTAAGAAATAAATTATCATTTTTTGGTTTTGCATTTCTAAACACTTTTTATTCAGTTTTGATTGCAATATCTGTTTGAATCGTAATTTGAATGACAAATACTATTCATTTACTATTCGTTTAATTAGACTATTGTTGACTCGTTCACAGAATTCAATATTCAATGCATTACCAAAACAAACAAAGTTTAAAAACTTTTTTAGAAAACAATGGAAACAATGAAATCATAAAAATTTATTTCAACTAATTCTCAGTCGACTACTGATCACAGGATCAGACATCCACTCACTTATGGCTCAGTATTTCATGTGTTTCCGTGTCTCACATCTCAAGAGTGCTTCCAATCAACGAATACTAACCACTCTTTTCTATTCCCTTCTCAACAGACATGCGATTGGTTTGAGGTATTGCTTAAGAAGTGATAACTCGATGGTATGGCTCGACGGAGACCTTAGATTACTGGTGACGTCCCGGTGCTGACCAGATATCTCATCAGTGGTGCCATTGGTATGAAGACAACGAGTTCTGGAGGAACTGGCGCTCAATGTTTTGAGACTTCGAGACGAAGACCTACTGGTGATGACAGCACTGGTACTAACGTCCGGCCATACAATTGGTGTCGTGTTTGGAGCCGTCTTTCAAACGACGAGGAGT